TGCTGTTTGTACAGGAGACTGTGTTGGAAAAATAACAAGGCCCAAGTTGCCTTCACTCATGGAATGTTAACAACGAAGAGAAATAAATTTGCCACACCCAGCATTCATATTTGGTCTCCCTCCAATCTGACCGCACTAAGTCCACTGCCCCTCTTGACCCCTATCATCCTAGGAATAGCAGCCTGTTGGCACAGGAGGGGCACACAGAGAGGGCAGGAGAAGCACTGAGCAAACTGAAATGCAGTGCTGTGGCAGTCAGGCCGGGGTAGCCTGTGTGTGCTGCCATGCAAGTCCAGCACAGAGCTAGTCCTGTGTCTTGCCACAACCCACCCAAGAAATGTTTTATCTGTTAAAGATTTGTTTATTACTTGAAAGGCAGAGTTGCAGAGACTCACTCCCCAAATGGCCACAATGGCCAGGGCTGGGCCAGCTGAAATCAGGAGGCTGATGCTTCTGGGTCTCCCATTGGGTGGCAGGAGCCCAAGCATTTGGGTCATCTGCTGCCGCTTTACTAGGTGCATTAGCAGGGACCTGGATCTGGAACAGGGGGGTCTCAAACCAGCACTCATATGGAATGCTAGTGTTACAGGTGGCAGCTTAACCCACTGTGCCACAACATAGGCCCAAGAAATGGTTTTGTGCTGCCCACCTAGAGTTCAGCTCCTTGCTTCTCCAGTGTGCTGTTTCCCTCCACATTGCTCCGCAGCACTGGCACCAGGAACCAGGAAGTGTGCCTGTCACTTTTGACTCAGCCTTCTCGGTCACACACAATAGCCAGTTGGTCTGCAAGACCCATGGAGGCTGCTGTCTCTCGAGGGTGCTGGAATCTGCCCCGCCTTTGCTCCAGTTCAGTTTCTCTTCCCTTCTTGCTTGGGTGACTACATCAACCTCCTAACGAGTCTTGCATTTGACCAGCTTTCCTCTTTCGGATCAGTCCACTCCCCACAATGCCACCGAGCCATCTTTGCAAACCACAGGCAGGGTCATGCTACTTCCCTCTTTAGGAAAGCTCATTCGCAGCTGAGCCCAGCACAGCAGGCCGGTTACACGGTGCCCAGGCCTCCCTCTCCAGCCTGTTCTCTCACCTCTCCAGCTCTTCTCCCAGCTGTCAGGAACTGCTTGCAGTTCTTCAGACAACACAGCTCACCCCACCACATGTGCCCTTGATCCTGAGCGTCTTGGCCAGTGGACATCAACTGTCTCTCGAGACCTCCTTTGCTGTCACCGGGGGCCTGCTTCTTTGTCCCACTGCCCAGCTCCAATATGAATTTACCACAGTGCAGTGTAATCATCTCTTTATTTATATCCAGGTCCCCTGACTATAAGTCATAAGCTTTTTGAAGGCAGGGACCGTGTTTGGTTCAGCTTCCCATGCCCAGTGTCAAAGCACATTTCATATGCTCAGCTGCTCTGTTTAAAGAATGAAGACCTCTCCAGGGTGGATCCTAAAGTATCCTGTACACCCGAGATGACCCCGCTCAGGGCCACGTTCCAAAATCTACTCAGTTGAGACTTACATCCCTAGAGTTGGGCCAGAGCCCCAGGAGCTTCTGGGAAACAGGGTGGGGTAAGTGGACCAGTTGCTCTTATTACTTTATTTTCTTTCTTGTTATGGGGAAAGACAGTCCCTCAGCTACCTTACCTTTCCCACCCTGGTCTGACTTGGGGGCATAGATCGTTCAGTAGCCGCACAAAGGGAATCGGCCCCCTAAGGTATGGACTACCCTGGCTGCCAAGTGGAGAAGACCGCGGACGTGACACCGGGCTTAATGTGGTGACAACAGTCAGCTATGGCGGTGGTATTACGGCTGCTGGCCTCTCACGGTCCACAGCAGTTACTGGAAGTCTCCTGTGTGCTGAGTGTCTTGGAGCTCTCTAGAAGCACGGTGGGGAGTTTAAAATAAAACAGAAAGAGCTCCTGTGCTTGGGAGGCTTCCATACCTAGATTTAAAATATGAGCCTTGCCTTTGTTGGAGAGTTTTGCGGGAAGAGGTGGTAAGGCCAATGTCTTCTAGGACCTTCAATCATTCACGTACAACCGTGGTGATTTGAGCAAGTGGCAGGAGGCAGGGAGCAGAGTGCGTGTGCACTGGCAGGGAGACTGTGGCGTGATGCAGCAGAGAGCTATTTTCCTTCTAAGCTCGTATTTCCCTCCTGTAGGGTGGGAGAACCCCTCAGTGCTGACCCCATGACATGCCTTCCTACGCCCCAGGAAAGAGCTGGGATTCCTTTCAAACACTATTTGTAGAATCTGAGCTTTCTCTGTAATGGAGGAGAGCATTCTAGACTGGGGTGCTCTGTGTTGAAGGTGTTTAAATAAGGGACTTTCGAGGATTTTGAAAAATATGTATTGTTTGTAAGCCAAGGTGAATTGGGAATAGAATATCTAAATTTAAGTTCTTATTAATACCCCATCCCATTTTGATAAGCAAGAAGTAAGTTATTTTTGTTGGCAGGTGCTGACATTCTGTTCAAGCTGTTTTCTTTTTTAAACACTGTCCTCTCTGAAATGCATTTCTTGTTACTTAAACAATTTTTAATTTACTTGAGAAACATAAATAGCTAGATGGAAATTTCCTATCTGCCAGTTCAATCCCCAAGTGCCTGCAACAGCTGGGGCTGGGCCAGGCTGAAGCCAGGAGCCAGGAACTGAATCAAGTCGCTAAGTAGCAAGCACTCAGCAACTTAATTCATCACCCCTGCCTCGCAGGGTGTGCATTAGCAGAAAGCTGGAATTGGAGGGAAGCAGGGAATTGAACCCAGACACTCCAGTGTGGGATATGGACATCTTAACCACGATTTCAAACACAAAACAGCTCCTCAAGCTGTTTTTAGATAGCAAAATGATCCCTACATCTGTGTTAGACATAGCATAGGGCTCTGGCAATCAACTGGTTAACATGAAATTATTTTTTTTTTAAAGATTTACTTATTTATTTGAAAGTCAGAGTTACACAGAGAGAGTAGAGGCAGAGAGAGAGAGAGGTCTTCCATCCAGTGGTTCACACCCCAGATAGCCACAACAGCCGGAGCTACACTGAAGCCAGGAGCCAGGAGGTTCTTCCAGGTCTCCCACGCAGGTGCAGGGGTCCAAGGACTTGGGCCATCTTCCACTGCTTTCCCAGGCCATAGCAGAGAGCTGGATGGGAAGTGGGGCAGCTGGGACTAGAACTGGTGCCCATATCAGATGCCGGCGCTTCAGGCCAAAGCGTTAACCTGCTGAGCCACAGCACCGGTCCCATGAAATGATTCTGTGACACACTTAAGCTTATTCTGGACCCTAAAGGCTCTTTAGTCCAAGTGTCTAACCTGTAGAATCAAGAGAAATTAAAAGAAGAAGAAACGCTTTCAGAGCTAGTGATTTCAAATAGCTCATCTCTAGTCTCTTAATGACAATGTCTTTTTCAAATTCCGTCGATCTACCTGTCTCTATACATCTATTCATTTCATAGTCGAAAGACACAGATTTGTCATTATGACATGTAATATTATTATTATAACAGTGATGGACATACTTATTAGTACAGTATGCTAAACAATTATTATCTAATAACCCATGTCAATAATGCATTAAAATGATACAAAATGATGTAAGTTTCAGTGAGTAGTAGTATACATTAAATAGCACAATATCACAAGCTGGTAGAGAAGAGGTGCAATTTATTACAACCTGCTAGGGATAACAAAATTGAGATTAAAATTTGTTTATGTATTAACAAGTTTCACAGTAGTCACAGGTAGGGACTGAATCTTTTGTGACTCATAACCACCATGTGAGACTGGCATTATGATCATGTACATTTTTCAGAGGAAACAGGTTTAGCCAGGTTAAGTGGCTTGCCCTAAATCCCTCAGCCAGTGTCAGAGTGAGCTAGGGCCTAACCCTAGTCTGAGCTCACCGACGTCATAGTGTGGGTTGATAATCCTGTTGTGATTGGCTCCTGTTGCTTGTTCATTAAAGAATCAATGAAAGTACAGAGAAGGCAGAACAAAAGTTTGACAAAGACATACAGACTACTGAATTATCTGAGAAATTACCCAACTATGTGATTTCTAAGTACCGTAATTTTAGTTTTAGAATTTAAGATACAAGTTTCTAATCACATTGAAGTCTTTTTTTTTTTTTAAGATTTTATTTATTTTATTTGAGAGGTAGAGTTACAGACAGTGAAAGAGAGAGACAGAGAGAAAAGTCTTCCTTCCGTTGGTTCACTCTTCAAATGGCTGCAACGGCCGGAGCTGCAGCGATCCGAGGCCAGGAGCCAGGAGCTTCTTCCTGGTCTCCCACGCATGTGCAGGGGCCCAAGCATTTGGGCCATCTCCTACTGCTCTCCCAGGCCATAGCAGAGAGCTGATCTGGAAGAGGAGCAACCGGGACTAGAACTGGCGCCCATATGGGATGCCAGTGCGCTGCAGGTGGAGGGTTAACCTACTGCACCACGGTGGCGGTCCCCACAGTGAAGTCTTGCATAATATTTTCTTTTTGGGAGGTGCAGAGAGGGAGTGGAAGAGAAGGGAAGCACAAATTTTTATGCACTCTAAAAAGTGAGCCTGGCTGGGAAGAACCCAGGGCCAAGTATCTCAATCAGTCATTTGTTTGCACACACTTCCGCAGCACTTACACAGCTTCCTTCTTCCTCATCTTCTTGCCTTTAAGTTAATCAACCAGGTTCAAAATCTTTGGGGAAGATGCAAAGCCAGTTTCTGAGTCAATAACCCATTCCAAAGCCTTTCTAAACAGACCCAGTTCATTCTCTGCACAACCCATGGCTGTTGTGGAAACTGGAGTTGTGGCAAGGCTCACCAGCATGCAAATGGGTCTGGAGCCATTTCTGTAACTGGTTATACAAGGACTTCAAGACACTGTTAATGATGAAGTCCTTCTGCATGTCGGTGGGGGCACTGCAGTAATGGACATTGTAGCCAGGCTTCTGCAAGTGCTCCAGGTCCCGTTCCTCCTGCACGCAGTGCGTCATCGGTAGCTGGAGGAACGCCCACCCATGACTATCAGTCACCGAGCTCATTCTTCTCGTACTGCCCTGCACCTGTGAAGAAACAGAACTCAAACACAGCCCGGACTGCTTCAGCAGTGCTTTCTGTAATGTGTATTGAAGCAAATTGTGTTAGACAGTCCATTTATTTAAAAATAAAATATCATAATAAGGGCGAAAAAGGCCTATTCAGGTAATTCTACAAACAGTCCTATTTTGGTGAAGAGACCAGGTAGTGCATAAACGCATGGTGGGTGGGGGCATGGTGGGGAAGGACCATGGCCACCTTCTAAACACTGTAATGACAGAAGACAGAATGGTAAGATTTAGCAAAAAATGTAGTCTTGGAGCTGGCTGCAAGACAGCCTCTTTGTGAGACTGGGCCTGAAGGAAAGACTAATTAACATCACAAGCTCTTAAGTCCTATACAAAACTGCTGCCCCACATCTCAAAGGTCTGATCTAGTGCAGCTTTAAAAGAGGGGGTGCAGCAGGTGGTGGCTCAAGTACTTGGGTTCCTGCTACCCATGTGGGAGACCGGCTTAACCCACTGCACCACAGTGCCGGCCCAAGGAAAGCATCATTTAGGACCGGTGCTTCTCCGGGTGCAGTCTGAGGTCTGGTGGCAGCACCACCAGCATTTTGGGATGTAACCTTGAAAAATGAGAACCACTGAGTTGTTGATAAATGACAGTTCAAAATTGCTTACTAAATTTTCGCTTGAAATTAAAGTCACTGACCGTAAGAAGTAATTATAATTCAATATATGGAAATTAAATTTTTGAAACATTTATTCAATAGCAGAGTTACAGAGAGAGAGCTCTTCCATCTACTGGCTTATCCTCCAATGGCCACAATGGTCAAGGCTAGGCCAGGCTAAAGCCAGGAGCCCATAACTCCATCTGGGTTTCCCACGTGGGTGCAGGGGCCAAAAGTATTAGGGTCATTTTCAACTGCTTTCCCAAGCACATCAGCAGGGGGCTGGATCAAAAGTGGTGGGAATCAGTGCCCACATGGGGTGCCAGCACTGTAGGCCATAGCTTAACTCACTGCACACAACACTTCAATGTCATCTTCAGATGATTCCTCTGTGTACTCAAGTTTGCAAAGCACTCATTTAGACCATCATTTGTCAACTGCAGATTAAAACCCATTAGTGGGTTATAAAATCAGTCCTGTGGGTGGTGAGCAGGATTTTACAAAAGTAAAATAGAATGGAACAGAAAATGGAGTGGCTCCATGTGACATGGGCATTATCTCATAAAGCTTGCTTCAGTTCTGCCAAGGGGTGTACACCCCTGTGGACTGATTTGGACGACATAGTACTTCAGTTTTTGCAGAACCGGAAGGGTTTGTTAATGAAGCTATCCATTTTAAGTGAAGTCTGAACCATTTGTTGGATGATGAAACATCTTGACAGTTTCATGGGATTGCCGTTAGGTTCAGGGATTCAGAGGGCTGAGGAGAGCAGAGGGTGGAGACAGAGCGCCCACCACGAGGGAGCCGTCCAGGAGTCCGAAAGTGACCTCAAGGGAGGACTAGGGAGGAAGTACCTGCATGCACTCGATGATTCATTCTCATTTACTGTGCCATCACAGGTCTCAGGCGTTGTGTGAGACAGAAGGGGTACAGATGTGAGCTCCACCCTGGGTCCCACTGTTTAGTGACAAGAGGTCTAATACTGCAATCCGTGCTGCTCTACAGCACTGAACGGACACACAGAAGGCAGTCTGTGATGGTGGGCCGGGGTAGGGGGGCTGCAGGGGCATCTGTAGGGAGAAGATGCTCAAACGAATGACGACCACATGTTAACGTGATATTCCATGTAAAAGCATTGAGTCGCTTTGCTCTCACACTTAGTGTGCATGTGTACATCCATAACCATTCATATATTCTTCATGTACATATATTCTTGTTCAAAAACGTGATTACCATGCCCTTTGAAAGAATGAGAAAATCATTACATAAATGGCTCATTGCAAACATGGGGAGCGAGGAGGGAAGACCAAGTATTTCTGTCATTTGTACAAAAATATTATTTTCTTTTTTTAAATATTTATTTATTTACTTGAAAATCAGAGTTACACAGAGAGAAAAGGAGGGAGGGAGGGACGGAGGGAGGGGGAGAGAGAGAGAGGGAGAGAGGGAGAGAGAGAGAGAGGCTTCCAATCCCTGGTGCACTCCCCAAATGGCCTTAATGGTGGGAGCCAGGAGCTTCTTCCAGGTCTCCCACATGGGCGCAGGGGCCCAAAGACTTAGGCCATCTTCCTCTGCTTTCCCAGGGCATAGCAGAGCTGTATTGGAAGTGGAGCAGTCAGGACCCAAACTGGTGCACATACGGGACGCTGGCACTGTTGGCGCCAAACCCATATTATTTTCACATAGAGGATACGTCAAGGCTTTTCAGCATAGGTGGGTCGAATGTCCCGACCACGCTCGGCAGTCAAAATGCCACTCCATAGTTAAGAACACACTGGGAATTTTATTAAATCCCATTTTAGAGAAACGACAGAATTTTATGGCAGCAGACGCCCTAGGGTTTTAACACAAATATTCCAGGCAGGGAAGCTAAAACCCAAAAAGGTTAAAAAAAATTGCTCCCTATCCATAACTTAGCCCTAAGGGGCAGGTGGGATCAACCTTAGCTCTCCCAGCTCCGCTCTGCCCCAGGCCCGGGGCTCCTTCAGGTCCGGTGGGCAGCCGCCGCCTTGGTCCTGTCTCCTGATTCCGCTGTTCTGTCAGTGTTAGCAGGATTGCGGAGCCTCTGGTTTTCATCTCTTAAATCAGCGTGTAAGGTAACACACACCCAAGTCAAACGCTCGGGACACAGGCACAGCCTTCACGCTCCAGCCTGCACACGCTCTTCTCCCGGGTCCGCGGGCCACGTGTGGAAGGAGGGGCCGCCTTCTGATTGGCGCCCCGAAGGACTCTATCCTCCAATCGGCGTAGGGCCAGAGGTGGCGGAGGGGGCGCGCCCTGGCCGGCGGGGCGGGGCCGGCGACTTGTCCATCATCGAGTCCGCTGGTGGTGGCAGCACCTACCACACCGCCTTACCTTGTTGAGGCGGGGCCGGGGCCGCGCGAGGCGGAGCCAGATCGGCGGGAGCCAATCCACGGGACGGAGCGAGGGGGGACGGGGGCGGGGTCTTCGCACGCAGCCCAAACACACGGGCCCGGGCGCACCCTGCAGCCGCGCGGTTTCTCGGCCTTCCGGTGTGAAGCCGGGGGAGCCTCCTCCCTCCTGGGCGCCCCCGCCCTACCGGCCCTCCTTCGGCCTGGAGAGGGGAGGGGGAGGCCGGGAGGCGGTTGCCGGGAAGCGCGCGCCGCCCCTCCGTCGCCTCCTCCCTTCACGCGCCACCCGTTTTCCCTCTTTCTCCGTTAATAACAGCTGGGTGGCGGGGGGAGGAGGGAAGGTGGCCCCGGCGGAGGCTGGGCGGGCGCCTCCCACTCAGCCGCGAGCCGCCGTGGGAGCCGGAGGATGGCGGCGGTAGCAGCGGCCGCCCGGGAGGAGGCGGTGCCGAGGCCCAGGGCGCAGAGCGCGGCGGCGGCGGCGGCGGCGGCGGCGGCAGAGCGCGGCAGCGGCCCGTCGTGGCGCACCAGAACCGAAAGCAGCGGCAGCCGCGCGGCCACCTGAGCGAACCCACCCCCGCCTCGGCCGGCGAGCGGCGCCCGCCGCCGGGCCCTCCCTCCTCGCCTCGCTTCGCCTCCCGCGCCCGCGTCAAGTCACCGGCCTCGGCCGCGAGAAGAGCGCGCGCCGGGCACCGACCGCCCCTCGGGGCGCCGGGCGGCGGCCCTGGACGTGCGGGGGCCCCTGTGGGCCGGCCGCGGAGCCTCGGCCCTGCCCGCTCGCTCCCGCCTTCCCGGAGCTCGGGGCGCCGCGCGCGGGCCCGGCCCGGGGCGAGGCGGA